TTCAGCAAAAGCACACACTTTTCAAGCTTCATAAGCTATTTTTTACGACCTTGTATACGAAGTAGCGGTGACCGACCCAAAACCAGACTTCTTGGTGTATTGCATCGACCCTTGTCCCTAGTTGCCAAGTGGTTATTTTAACCAGGTCATGGCATCACGAAATTTGAGAACATGAGATGTCAGACACAACTCGCATCCTTTTGTCCGCTCGAGCAACCTCGAGTTCATCACGATGTTTCAGGAACAGGTACACTTTATTCGCCTCCGTATAAACATTTTAAGACGCTTGTATGGTCGAGTATATAAAACAATGAAATTAAGTCTTGGAAGAATGATTCGTTATGTGACATACTATAGCGATCGAATAGCATATGGGTTGTATCAATTCCTGAAACATTGTTCGTGATGAGCGAGATGCATCTGACGCTGCAGATGATTAGATGACATGGAATAGTTACCTGTTTAAACGACCAGGAGCAAAGGAACGGTGCAATACGTCATGAAGTCTGGTTTTGAAGGAGTCATTCGTTATCTGACCTTCCAAGCTGTTGCATCGGGACCTTGATTTATGTCGAATGGATGAATCTCAGTCAAATTTCCTAATGGTGTTCATTATGCCGAGTTTTTAGGGAGAATGCAAGACCTCATTATACCACTGAAAACATCAAATCGAGCACTATCCATATCCATAAATACATGATCCGCAATGTAGCTCTTCCATGCTATCTTCAGTGGTATATGGCTCAGGGGAAGTAAGAATCGACATAGCACGCTGCTACGCCCCTGTCAAAAAAAGAATAAAATGAAGAACACGAACTTAACAAAAAACCAGGTTGTATTCAGAGTAAGATACAGACGAAACATGGCCGCGTAATATGGGGAAGGTCGCTCACAAGAAAATATAAAAGGATGCAAATATTGAATACGCCGAGTAATAAATATGAACCAATCTGTGTCACTGATACTGCCATGATAATACAGCAAGTCTTATCACTGAAGCAGCTATCGTAAAAGCGTTACCGTCAGCAGATAGTAAAGAAATCAGCAAAAATCACAGACGCGACTGAAAGAATACGAGATCAAACATAAGATATATGAATTTTAAGACTCTTCGGTTCCTTCCCATGCTCAAAAGAAGCGCTCAACTGTCGTGATCTGTTTCGACCGAAACACGCTTTTCGTTAAGCATTTTGACGCTGTCATACACGGCTGCCTTCAAACGCTTGAAAGTTTCGGTTTCGTCTCCGATTTCTGGCTTCATTTTATTCGTCACATACGCGAACGAAAGATTGTTATGAAAATCAATCTTCACATTTTGACCACCATAACCAGGATGACCCAAAATGTACTGACCCTGCAATAACGTAATTAGCACGCAACACCGGGAAACTCATCAATAATATACAAACGGATTTTTGACGTATATAAAACCCCATCCGTAGCTCAAATTCCATCCAATGATTTCGTCATAAACATTTTCTTGGACAGGCGTCATCAACATGCGCATCGCATTTTTGGTCAAAACCTTTCCAGATATAACAAGCGAAAAAAGCTTGGCAAGCGATTCGGCAGTGCCAATTCCGTTCGCTGCAGGTATCTCCATGGCGTGAAACTCTGGAGTATTTAGCATGACTATACCGTTTTCCTAAAATACTGCGTTATACTGCTTGGGAAAAAGTGTCGACCGTAGCTTCAGAACAGATTCAATGACATACAGACGAAAATCGTCAAAAGTTCATTGAAGAATAACGGTAATATGATTTGAAGCTTAAGCTGTAAGCGTGTACATCTTAAGCTGTTCGTACGCCAGACTACATTAAATAATGAATACCCCCCCCCTGCACAAGGTCAGATTTTGCGATGTATCCTACAGTCCGCTTCCTCCTGAAATCTGGTCTTGGACGAATCAAATATTATGAATTATCATCAATTGTGGTATTATGAACCAGCTTAACTAAACCGACATAACCTGTTTTATTGTTGGTCTGTAGAGAGACTGAATATGATCTGAAATACCCATAAGTCAGTTTTATGGGCAGTTTTTAAATTTATAACACCTTCACTGAAGTGTAATGCTCTTGTTCGCTATTATTTGATTTCTTAACGGTGGCAGCGAATACATTGCTTTCGAGGATGTGAGTCACGTAATGAGTGGTTTTGAAGTTCACGTTCAGCTGCAAGTCTGTGAGCACATGCAGTGTCAAATACCATGGATTCGTGACCTCATTAAATGCTCGCACCTCCTCTATCCAAAGGCAACTAAAATCAAGGAGATAGTGCTCGCCGTAAAATCTGGTTTTAGAACAGTTATCCATTAACAATGTGGCCTTGCTGCATTTTCACCCCTATGTCTATCGACATTCATAAATACATGTAGCTTCATTGATAAATCAACGTAATCTATATCATTTCTATATCCACAAGCTTACATACAGAATGGCAACAACAGTATGCCGACATACTTTACATAGATGCAACGCAGGGGAACCACATTTGATCTCATCGCTGAAACGCTGTCAGAATTGAAAGTTCAACTTTGGGTTACTTTCATTCTTAATTAAAGATTCAACGCCCAGAACGCCGGGAGGCTCTTAACGCTCTAGGCTCAATCATCTCCAGCGATGGTACCATCCAATCACAGTAAAATAGAACATAACCGTAGTTTCGAATGCTTTAAGAGATCTGTGTAATATCTGAGCTGAGAAAGGAGTATACTTTTCCTAAAAATCCGCTTGTAGCTGGACTCTATCAGATCATCGTTGTAGTACAGTATGAAAATAGCTGTTGTAACAGAAGGGCAAAAACGACGATTGAGTTACGTAAAAAAATCGACTTCTATGCATATTGACGGGCCGCGTAAGGAATGAGTCTACTCTACTTCGGCTAGAAACGACCTCAGTAGATTGGGAGATAAAACAAGAGGTTGGCCATATAAACGGTTGAGCATAAATCATTTACTGTAACATATGAGCTTCTCGGGTGAGAGCCGAAACATGGCATAGGTTGATCAGGAGGCCAGCATGCAACAGGGAGGAACTAGGTAAGGCCAGGTATGCTTTTGGAGAGGAATATTTTCTTCTATGATGCAGTAACCGCTGATTTATAGCAAGTTTTGTACAGCTGCGAATACAACTGAGATCATAAATCAGAGATTTTCTGCTTACGCAAACGGCTGAACGTTATACCTCAAGTAAACAACAATAATAAACAATAATAATTCAAACTTGATACTTTACAACATGTTTTAATAGATACAATGATTCTGTTTGAAAATACTTGAAGGTGAATAGGTTCTTTTCTATCTAGTCTAGTAGTAAACTTGACTTCAGCTCAAACGGACTAAGTGAAGTGGCTAATATGTTTAGAACGATAACAACATCCTTTTAGAACTTCATATAAAGCTTTTTTTCTACTGTTTCCTCTCTCCAAAATTTCATTGCCTCGGTCAGCGCTAAAATAAAACAACAGTACTAAATGTATATCAACTTACCGATGTGCTCATTATCCATTTAGGATTCGTGAAGGCGCTTTTTATGTACGGAACAGAAAACGGACTATAGGGAATGATCACAAGACGTAAAAATACCCAGTTGAAAAGTTTCTTAAAAATTTCAGAGAAACGTGCAAACGAAACAGTAGCCACGCGATATTCTAATTCCTTTGGAAGCCCGATAAAAAATTCGATACCTGAAAAACGAAAGTAGTTAACGAAAATCATCTAACATTCATGCGGAAAGCCAAATGGCGAAAATTAACAAATGTAACCAATCCTTGATTTAACTTAAACAAAACGAAAAAATTTCCCTGCGGCATCAATACGTAGTAAAGAGTCGTAAAAAGTCATTCGAGATCACGATCTTCAAGAAAAATCAGATTAATCACAACTTCCAGGAATTTTATTAATAGTAAAATTCTTGCATTGGATTAATAAAATGCAAGCGATGTGCTGATACTGGAGCAGCGAAATAATTGAAGGAGAAATAGAGGGATAATCAACGAAAGAATGAGAGAAATGAAAAGAGGGGAGAAAAAGAAAGAGAAGAAGACGTGGGAGGAAATTGACAAAGAGTAAGGGAAGGAAAAGCGATAAAAAAAGAAAAGGAAAATAAAGAAGGGCTGAGATGAGATGCATAAGAGAAGAAAGAAGAGACAAATGAGAAAGAACACGAGAAAGAAGAGAATGTTGAAGAAGAAAAAAGGAAAAAGAAGAGAAGAAGTACAGAAAGTACAAATGAGAAGGAAAAGGATCCATAGAAAAAAGAAAAATCGATGAGACAGAAAAAACGAAAACAGCACAACAAATAAAACACAATACTGAAAAACATACGAAGTCTCCATAACAAGTTCAATAATCAGCTTATATTCACAATAATTCTAGGAAGTTAGGCTGACCTTTCCTGAACAGCCGTAAATGAGCTACAATCAAAAATAGCAAACCGAAATAAATGAAGAATAATATGAACAATAACAAGGTTACTTTATCGACTTTCAGATGTGCCAAATAAGAGGGAAGAAAAGACGATTCTTCTACTCAAAAAATTAAACCTCCAAAACTTAGGAGAAACAGTGTTTGGTGATGTGCAAGTTTCGAAAGGATTAAATATTGAAAAATTGAATTCTTCGCTAAGGCAAACTGGGGTTGAATTGAAAATACTTTCAAGATAACCATTATTACCGATTTTCATTAAAAATAATTAACCTGATTCAATAAATCTCGTTATTGCAACAGAAGAACCCCAAACCTCAGATATGACTCAACTGTGAGTAAAGCAAAACTCTACATAAAGGATATAGACGTTTTATAAAAACATTAAAAGCAGAAATTCAGTTTCCCTGAATCATGAATTTAGTTTAATGACAGCTGTTGAACGTCGAATAATTTTGGTAACATAATTAGTGAGATAAAAAAGCTTTACTTTTATCTTCATTTTCTTCATCTATAACTGTTTCCCCATTCGAGTCTCGAAGACTGACGCATCAGCAGTGGTTCCTAAGTTCTCAATCTCGTGATAGAGACAGCTTCAGCAGAAAACAACAGGAATCTAGAGCATATTCCTTCTCCCAGCATTTGCACCAGATTAAACTTGGCCGCTGGTTACCCCAAAGCTCTCGGGGATGACTGCAATTCTGATTATGTCGAGACGCGTAAAGCCAGCGACTCGTCTCAAAAAGCCCACTTCAGCTACTTGTACCTGGATCCAAGTTTTTAGTCATGGTCCACGACTCATGACCGAAGGCAAGTTTGGGGATGATGATGCACTTGAAAACCGAGAGCTTAGTCTTCAGACTGAGCTCTGCTTTAGTCACAATGGGTCGGGCTAGTTCATGCAGAACGCCACTCCAATTCGCCGGTCGGTCTCTTCCGCCAATTTTCCATCCCTAGTACACAATTCCGAGGTACTTGAAGTTCTCCACCTGCTCCACTGCCTCTCCGTTAATCTGAAGAGTGCAACGGGCAGAAGAATGAGAAAGTATAAGGCTTTTCGTTTTAGATGCGTTCACATGCATGACGGTCACTCGGCTGAGCACGTTTCTAGGGAGTACTGTAGATACGTTGCAGAAGATGCCAATAAAACAAGGTCGTCTGCAAACAGCAACCTTCTCGACTTCACATCTCCTATACCGATACCCTCATCACTTGGGCAGTCCTGACCATTCTATCCATGTACAACACAAACAGGAGAGGAGACAGGACGCAGCCTTGGCGGAGACCAGTCCGAATGTTGAATGGTTTCGACTTAATGCCATTTACTCGGACGCAGCACCTGCTATATGGTTGGAGTACAGCAACTCGACATCAATCAAATACATGTTCGCAAATATGTCCACAGACTTCTACGCGGGATCTGATTAGAGACTTTTTCTAGGTCCACGAAGCACATGTACACCGGATGGAACACCAACAGCGGCCTGAGAGAGCGTTGCGACATCGACACCTGAGTAGAACAGCTTCCTACCGCTGAGATTCAGGATTCTAGAGCCTTGGCGCTTCGCTGACGAGAGTAAAACTACATCGAATAGGTACTTTCTGCCCTCATCAAGTAACTCTTGCTCTTTCCCTCTGAGTGAGGATATATTCCAATCTCTGACTGTAAGCTCCAACTGGTGGTGTTGTTCCCGTGTATCCGTTTCTGACGTGTTATAATGGCGCCGCGCGGTGTGCCTCGTCCACTCAGAATGAGTAGCGACTCCGTTGCGTATGATTATCTGGTCGTCGTTCCGTCGATCTTCAGGAGCCGTTGTTGTACTGCTGCCCTCCCCCCCACTCCTAGCCTGCCAGAACATGATGGGTAGGTTCTGATCGCCGAATTTTCGCAGCCTTCTTCACTCTCCCCAACACCTTTCGCGACCATCTGTAACCGTGGGATTGGCAACGGCAGAGTTTAAGGCAAGGAAAAATTTAATCTGCAGTAGAAAAGGTGCTGCAGGATCAAACTATTTCCAATGCATGTATCTTGTATGTAGGTATGGCAAACCATGTTCATTCTAAGTCCTTAAGTTGCACTTTAGGAACGTCAGTTTTTAGTGCTGCGCTTCATACGCCTACGGTTCATTCACACAAGCAATTACTCGAGCATGAACAAGGCCATACACCTCAGATACAAGACTACATAGTAAGCCAAACCTGAATTGGACAGCTAACAGGACTGGGCAGAGCGGTTATACATAACTTCAATAAGGAGTCAGCTATAAGCTGAGACAACGGCTACTGTATGAATCACATATTTAGAAAAGTACTTCATTACGAACAGTGCATATCTATACCATATCAATTTAAAAAACACGGTTCATTAAATGTATATGTCAATTCATTACCATGCGGTTTTGCGATCTCTTCATCGAAAAACTTGCCTAGACTTCGATGCTTTTCATCAACTCTTCGTACAATCTGGTCTAGGAGCCATCCAAAACTTACAGCATGGTATCCCCGTTTTTGACCGGGAGACCAGTTTGGCTTTTGATCTTCGAATATTTTCTTCAGAATTTCAAAATCTTTTGCACGCTCTATGGTGAGTTCTTCGTCGATTCCTGCCAGACCAGCCTAAAGGGTTGCCTTGGTACATGTAAACATAATTCATGAACATCCAACAGTTATATTAGCATGCAACCGTAGGAAGCAAACGTTATTTTTATTGAAACAATGGAACATCGTCATGGTGATGAAGCATATCGTAACAGACATATATTAAGTGACGAATACGAACGACGATTTAACAGTCATTGGATCCAGGGCTATAGTGAATATACTGTGATAAGCTGATCTGCTCGCTGCTAAAGATGACTTCCTCATTAACCTGCAAATGTTGGGTTCTTAGTAGACTTTCGTTGTTGTCACTCCAACGAGAAACCATATTTTACAGCATCTCTTAAATGGCATTGCACGCTTTATATGACATGAATAAATTCAGCATTGAATAAACAAGGGTTGAGATCTTCAAAAAGAACAGCAACCACCACTTTTCGAGGTTGTTCAGTCGGTATTTTCTGTATTTTCTGTAACAACAGCCACTCGTAGTATGTACAACAAAACCGGTAGAACAATAAGATTGGAGACTGTTATTCAATTTCAACTTAAGTTTTCGAGAAGCGTTTCAAGGTGACGAAAGCCAGCACAATTCAGGTCCTCAATACAGTTAACATCGCTTGAGGTAATAGAGACAACGACTTTTTTAAATCGTGCCGCTTCTGCGACTCATCTTCATGTGCTTCTGCATTATCCCATTCAGGTTCCTCATTACCTTTTTAACGAAAGGGCTAAACCAGAGGCCCGCCTTCACAACAGTCATCTGCATCTTTTCAGTTAGCAAGTTCTTTGCCACTATCGACAAAGAAATGCCATCTGTATAGCTTAAGTCAGATAAGTACTACTCCGCCAAATATTTGAGACTGACCTGTGTTCGTTTCTCATTAGTCCATTCAGTGCCATTTTGCAGAATGTTAGCTACTACCACATTAAAGAGCAGAGGAAAAAGTCACCAGTCTGAAGGACAACGGTTTTGATATCGAACCGATCCCCAATCTAGCCTTCGACTTTTACCGAGCTAATTGTTCCATCGTATATTCTCTCCACTATGATGGCTATTTGCTTTGAAATTTGGTAGTTGAACACGACCTTCAACATTATTATATGGTAAATTGAATCCAGGGCTGTACGGAAGTCGAATAACGTGGCAAACCAGAAAAGTCAGAGCCGTCGTCATTGTCGGATGATCCGGAAGGGG